GTGGGTGTTTTTGTGTGTGTGTGTGTGTGTGTGTGTGTGTGAGTGTGTGTGCCAATGTGTGTGTGTGTGCCAATGTGTGTGTGTGTGTGTTTATGAACGCTGTCAGAGATCCCTGACCAAACTCTTTAAGATTTATAATGTCACAGATGTGTTATTGTGTGATGAGTTTGGTCTCAGAGGAGAATCATGGGAAATCACAGACCTTATCGATCAGATATTAAAGTTCAGTGTCACAGTTTCTGTGTTTAACTGAACGTTCAGAGACGCCGGATAAACTTATAACAATCATAAACACACAAACAGAATAAAGAAGAACAAATGTCTTGCAGGTATTTTTTATGCTTGAACCCGCTATTATGACACCCCCTAACTGTACAAAGTGCGCCAGTCTTTCTGTGGTCCATATTAAAAATAAACTAGCCTGTAAAATCTAAACAGTGAACGCAAAACTACGGAATCACAATACAACTACTATTAGCGGAAGTGCTTTATCGGAAATCTGACACATTATAGTTCGAAAATGGCAGCTTATGTGAAAAATAAGGTGGATAGTAAGACCATGGTACTTGTGTAGAGAAAAGATCATGTGACTTTCCCTTGTTCAGCTGACAAACGTCATCTCGTAACATCTGCTGTGTGTTTATAGGCCGTTTAACAGCACACAGATGTGCAGTATTTCATATGTGCATCATTAAAACCTCTTAAGCAAAAACTCACTCTCACACACTCACACACACACACACACACACACAGACACACACACACACACACACACAGACACACACACACACACACACACAGACACACACACACACACACACACAGACACACACACACACACACACACAGACACACACACACACACACACACACACACACACACACAGAGATATTCAGAGCATGATAATGCATGCAGAGAGAGAGAGAGTGAGAGAGAGAAAGTGTGTGTGTGTGTGTGTGTCTACTGAACCATATTTTGGGTACAAATTTGTACAGTAAAGTGAGGTAAACCTGACAGAACCTCCATTTAGGGACGTCCTCATTTGAAAAAACAGTAAAAAATGTAAATAAATATTTATAAACACATTTAGATATATTAGAAAGTCTCCTTTTGAGGACCTCTTCAAATGTAAACAGTACAAAGATAAAGTAAATATATATTTATAATTGACACACACTCACACACACTCACACACACACACACACACACACACACACACACAATAAAGTAAAAAAAAAAACCTGAATTAATAAATTGACATCAAAATCAGAAGATTCCTCAAGCATTGAAGTCTACATGAAACTACACTTAACGTCAGTAACCAACATTAAATTACAGTGTAAGACAAAATGTGTGTAACTAGATGGTTAACATTAACCAGCAGCTCACAATTTAGAAATAAACTTAATTAAGATAAGTATTATTTTCTGTAAAATAACTTTGAATATGAACGTCGATAAGAATAAAAAGAAAAAAACTATTTCTACCATAACATAATGAAACTATTTAAATAATGAAACTATTATCTTTAAAGCTGGTTTATAGTTGAATGAGATTCATAATTGTTTTACAACTCAGAGTTGTTGAATTAACTGAATCAACATTACATTGAGCTGAATGATGACACAATTGTCTGATTTACAGTGTGAATTTAATTTCATGCAATATTGACACCGTCACTGAACTGAATTAACATTAAACTAAACTGAGTTGAACAATGACACTATCTTCTTCTGTAGAGCTGCTTTACAGCTGAAACTGAATTCATTTCAAAACTGAAATTTGAAACATTGACACTGATATTGAAGTGAATCAACACAACTAAATTTAATAATGACACTATTGTCATCTATAGGTGTTTTAAAGTAAATTGAAATGGATTCATAATTGATTAACTTTGCAGCATTGACACTTATCGAACTAAATTGAATAAACAATGATTTTTCAACTAAATTTAGATGAATTATGACACCATTGCCATTAAAGCTGCTTTATAGTTTATTTTGTATTTGTTTTATAACTGAGGACCATTGCTACATTAACACCGTCACTGAACTGAATTAAATCATCATTAAACTGAGCTGAATTACAACACCATTGTAGAGCTGCTTAAGGAACAGAATTTGTTTCCTAATTGAACTTTGCAACAGTGACGGTTCTTGAACTGAATTGAATCAACATTGAACTGAATTGCTTTACAGCTGAAATGAAACTGATCCGTAATTGAATTTTGCAACACTGACAGTTAGTCAACGTTGAACTAAATTGAACTAAATGAGACTATTCTCTCTTCTGTAGAGATGCTTTATAGTTGAATTCAGACAATCCGTCACTAGCTATGTTTCCTTCCACCTATTTTTATGCGCATTTTGGGATATTGCATAAAAAATTATGCTGGATGGAAACGCCAAGATGCACATAAATTCTAAAAATGCGCATAAAAAAACTCAAGTAGGATACATTTCTTATCCAGTAAGAAAGCATGGGCATAAACTACAATGGAAACACTTTTACCGAATAAATTCCAAAAAAGAAAACAGGACCAACCAACGGACCGATCTCATTGCACAGCATCTGAAATGCTAGTTTTGTCATTCTAATATGTTTGAGCAAAGTAAGCTTGTAGGGTTGCAAAAAGGTGGAAAATTTCCAGTAAATTTCGGAAACATTCCAGAAATTTTGGAAACTTTTCATGATTTTTTTTTAATATTCCAGGGATTTTTAGGGTTGCAAAAAGGTGGAAAATTTCGGAAATATTCCAGAAATTTTGTAAACTTTCCAGGATTTTTTTGGAATATTCCAGGGATTTTTGGAAAGTTTCCGGAAATTTACAGGAAATTTTCCACCCCTTTGCAACCCTAGAAGCTCGTAATTTATTGTACAGTATACACAAGTTATTATATACAGTGCCTTCTCCTACTGCCGCAAATTTAGTTTTTCTTCGTTATATTTAGTGCAAGTTAATCAGGAAGGTAAAAATAAGGTATTTTGTTCTCTTCAACTGCTTGGATGGAAACGCTGCTTCATTCGCAAATGTTTTATGCGATATTCCAATTTTGCATAAGTTTAAGTCGTAACTTTGGATGGAAACATAGCTACTATCAGAGAGACTGAGCAGAAGAGTCCAGCGTCTCGTTACCTTGCTGTGAGCGCAGGGTGGATAGTAGCAGGTGTAGTGCGGGAACATCTGGTGCTGCTCCAGCGTCTTTCCCATGAAGCTGCAGTCTGGAGTCCGGAGCGCGAGTCCCTGCTCTCTCCTCCTCCGCTGAGATACTCCAACACGGCAATCCAGCACAGACGCGGAGAAGACAGCTGGAGAGAACGAGAGAGCGTGTGCTCCGTCTGTCAGAGGAGGAGAGAAGAGGAGTGTCTGTGATCCGTGTGCTTTCTGCTCCAATAACAGCGTCTCTGCTCAGGGGCTCGACTGGAGAGAGAGAGAGAGAGAGAGAGACAGAGAGAGAGACAGAGAGACAGAGAGAGAGAGAGAGAGAGAGTGAGAGAGACAGAGAGACAGAGAGAGAGAGAGAGAGAGAGAGAGAGAGAGAGAGAGAGAGAGAGAGAGAGAGAGAGAGAGAGAGAGAGAGAGAGAGAGAGAGAGAGAGAGAGAGAGAGAGAGAGAGAGAGAGAGAGAGAGAGAGAGAGAGAGAGAGAGAGAGAGACAGAGAGACAGAGAGAGAGAGACAGAGAGAGGGGGGGTTTAGGCCCTCTACTGGTGATAAATGAAACTACAGGGCAGGAGTGTCAATTAAAAACACCGGCTGTGTCTCAAAACCTGACTAGACAGCATTTTTGTGCATTATACTTTTGCATGCAATTGTTTGGCAGACACTATAGCTACGTTTATGCATGCAACCTCATAATCTGTAAAATAATATTGAAAAGCCTTCATGTAAACACCTCGATCGACCTGAATGGAATTTCCATCAAACTATTAAAAATAGTTTTTGTCAGCTGATATACAGCTGGAATAAGGTAAAATATTAGTCAAAAACTTAAATGAAAATTAGAAAAAAAAATATTTAAGTTGATATACTAAGGCCTGGTTTCACAGATAGGGCTTAGACTAAACCAGGATTAGGCCATAGTTCAATTTGGACATTTAAGGAATTTTTTTTATAAATGTGCCTTAGAAAAAAACATTACTGGTGTGCATCTTGAGACAAAACAAAAGCACTGATATATTTTAAGATCAGTCAGTGCAAGTTTCTTTCGGTTGAAAAAGCTCAGACTTACATTTTAGTCTGAGACTAGGCTTAAGCCTGGTCTGTGAAACCGGGCGAATAATTACTCAAATTAAAACTGAAAGAAAGCTAACAAGAAAAAAATAAAATAAAACTAATAAACGTGACAAAATAGAACTATGAAAATTAGAAATGTTGCCTCAGCAACTTACTACAAAATATGGTTAAGTACTAAAATCTATAAAGCTACACCGGAAATAAACATAAAAAAGCTGAAACTAATAACAATTACAAATGCAAGGTTGTTGAATCTGATTGTATAAATAAATATAAAGCTAAATTGAAAAAATAAAAATACTAAAACTAATGAAAATAACAAAAGCACATCAAATTACTGAAACTTACACTAAACTGAAAATGTAAAAAATAAAAGTAAATTCAGAATTAAAACTCACTGAAATAAACTACGCTTTAAATGAGCTGTGCTCGCTTTATTAAAGCTACATGATGTTTTTATTAATTGTGCTAGCTGATTAAAACTCTTCAATCATAAACCGGGAGGAGAGTAACTGCTTAAATTAAACTTGAATCACCTTCTTGATAAAGCAATGAGCTCTGAAACACTCACCTCAGTGCAAACGACTTGAGATGATCTTGATTTGAGTGTCTCGTCTGGTTTATGGATCTGAAAAATTATGATGGCAGAAAAAGCTTCTTCTGTGAGGGTCCATCCATATCAATACAGAGAGACAAAGACAAACGCTTAATTTGTTTAATCCTCCTCAAGAACCTGAAATACAAAGACAAAAATGTATACACTCTTAAAAAAATAAAGCTGCTAAAAGGGGGACAGATTTTTCCAAAGAACTCCTCAGTAAACTGTTCCTAAAAGATTTTTTTTTTCAATGTGTGAAGAACACTTGAATAATCATCTAATAACTTCTTTTATTTGTGTATCCCATGTTCTTGTGTGGAGAACTACCAAATAAGTTAGATAAAATATTAGCTTATTTTAAGTTTTAAACATCAAAGATATGAATTCCCTTGTTAATAATGTTAAATCTTTCAATCCCAAGCAACTACTTTTCTTTAAATTCAAAGAAGGCACACGTAAGGTGAATACAAAACAAACTCGTGTAATATTTAGTTATATTCTCCTGAGGTGGACGATCACATGAAGGTTAAGCATCTACATTCACTGCATTTATTGAACAGAAACAGTACTTTATTCAGGACAAATTATGTTTTGTATTGGATAACAGTGGCATTTACATACTGTATGACAAAAGCAGAAGCATGAGGAGCTGTAACACACACACACACACACACACACACACACACACATATGCTCAACATGACACAGACACACACACACACACACACACACACACACACACACACACACACACACACACACACACTCAGAGCTTGTTTTGAGATGCAGTCAGTTATGACAGTGAAAAAGACCTGATGGAAATAGAGCAGAACGGATCCATCTCTCCTCCTCTGTGTCTCTGTTCGCTGTAGTTCAACACAACTGATTGTGTGTGTGTGTGTGTGTGTGTGTGTCAAGTTTCACACTATTCACCTGCAGTGTCTTTCCATAAGCAGTCAGTTGATTGTTTACATTTACTATGTTTTGTCGGTGCTAAGAAATCATACATTAATTTTTGCAATACAGACAGACAGACAGACTCAAGATGTGATCTTTGAAACAGTGCAATGATAGCAGAGCTTCATCAGTAATATCCCCATCATCAGCATCAGCCGGACACATCTAGATCTGTGTTTCATATCTATATGACAGCCTGAATAAATCAGAATAACACACAAAAACACTCACCGCGTGGGTTAATGTCAAACGCACGTGTACGTATGAGAAATCTCCAGCAGATCTTCATTCATCCGGAGCCACAGGGCCAATCGTGTTCTGGGGAAGGAGGTAATCAGATGCTCATCAAAAATGAATACGGTAAAACAGCATAATGGGGTCTGATACGAAATCTGCAATTACCTCTTATGCTCATATTACAGTAAACGACTGACACGACACACATCACACACACAGAGACTACTGTACATCAGAGAGCTCTTCTCATAGACTTCCATTTTTTTTCTGTCAGGCTAATGATCTCCAAACCCAAAACCAACTCTTTCAGAAACCTGCGCACATTCGATTCACATGCAACTATGTGGACCCTTTAGGAGCCGATCTGCTGCTGAAGAGACATTCCTGATTATTATCAATGTTGAAAAGAGTTTTTCAAGAGTTTTTCTGCTTAATATTTTGTGGAAACCATACACTACAGTACCATTCAGAAGTTTGGAGTAAGACAAAAAAATGTAAACTTTTATTCAGCAAGGATGCATTTAATTGATCAAAAGTGACAGTAAAAACATTTATAATTGTTCCAAAAGATTTATATTTTAAATAAATGCTGTTCTTTTGAACTTTCTATTCATCTGTGAATCTGAAAAATAAAAATGTATCACAGTTTCCACAAAAATATTGTGCAGCACAAGTGTTTTCAACATTGATAATAATCAGAAATGTTTCTTGAGCATCAAATCAGCATATTAGAATGATTTCTGAAGATCATGTGACACTGAAGACTGGAGTAATTATGCTGAAAATACAGCTGCGCATCACAGAAATAAATTACATTTTAACAGATATTCATAGAAAAGAGCTGTTTTAAATCGCAATAGTATTTTACAATATAACTGATTTTACTTTATTTTGGTCAAACAAATGCAGCTTCGGTTAGCAGAAGAGACTTATTTAAAAAAAAACAAAAAAAAAACTTTTGAACGGTAGTGTGCATAAAAAACGTTTTAGAAAATATGAACATATAATGAAATATAAAAAAACAAAACATAAATCCTTATTCAAAAGACATTATAAATCAGAATCAGAATCAGAAGAGCTTTATTACCAAGTATGTTTACACACACAAGGAATTTGACTTGACGAAGAAAGTACAAACATAGTGCAGACATACATGATAGTGCAGACATACATAGGAATAACACATTAGGGGTGTAATATAACACTAATATAATAAAAAAAGAAAAATTAGAAAAATGTAATAATGTACTATATACAGAAATAGAAGTATAGGAAAAAATGAATTGTTTAGATAAATGTACAGATACGTTTATTAGTGTGCAGATATGTTATTTACAAAGTGTGCAGTTTAATATAAATGGACGATGCATAATTATGAAAGATTAATTGTTCAGGCAGAATATAGCCTGTGGGAAAAAACTGTTCTTGTGCCTGGCTGTTCTGGTGGTCAGTGCTCTGTAGCGCCGACCAGAAGGCAACAGTTCGAAGATTGAGTGGGCTGGGTGTGAGGGGTCCAAGGTGATTATTTTAGCCCTTTTCCTCACTCTGGATATGTAAAGATCTTGGAGGCTGGGCAGAGCAACTTTCGTTGATGTAGAAACACAATCCACCACCTCTGGTTTTCCCCGTTAACTCCGCGATGCGATCCGATGAAGCGCGTTGTCCGGAATGGCTTCACTCAGCCAGGTTTTAGTGAAGCACAGTGCAGCAGAGTTTGAAAAGTCCTTGTTGGTGCGGGTGAGGAGAAGAAGTTCATCCGTTTTGTTAGGAAGGGAACGGACATTCGCGAGATGAATGCTTGGGAGCGCAGTCCGAAAGCATAAACTAAAGTAATTCATTAATTAATTATAAAAGCAAATAAATTTTATTTAAACCTCACTTTTAGTGAGAACATTTGACTCTCAGGTACAAACAAACCTTCAATTCTCTGCGTGTTTGTGAATCTGTGCTTTATTCTGAAAGCGCTTCTGTTGATCTGAGGATGATGAGGATGGTGAAGAAACCTCGTCTCTTCTCCACTGCTTCACTCCTGTAGCTCAAGCTGAACTGCTGTCATACCTCAAATTAAAAGAAATCACAATATACACACCAAACAAACCAAATATTCTTAGAATTCTGCACCAAGAGCTCTAATTACAGCAAATATTGCAATGCTCTCTTGGCAGGTCTTCCAGTTCTATCAAACCTCTACAATTGATGCAAGATTAATTTTTAATGAGCCGAAAAGCATGCACGTCACACCTCTGTTTATCAATTTGCACTGGCTACCAGTAGCTGCTTGCATAAAATTCAAAGCATTAATGTTTGCTAATTTACTAACTGCTTGTTTTCTTTAAAAAAACAAACAAAAAAAAAACTA